CAAAAACAGTGAACACGAATTCGTAAACTAATTTTACGAATTATTTGCGAATTGATCAGCATCGTGTTTGATCTATTCTCTGTTTACGAATTCGCAAGAAGAATTCGTAAAAGTTTTTAAGAGTATCGATACGAATATGATACAGTTCACATCAATTCGGTACGAATTCGCAAAATAAGGGTAAAACGCGAATTGTTGCATCATTTTTACGCTAAAAAGTTGCGATTCGTCCATTCGTCTTTAGACACTTTGTCCACACATCTCCTCGCGAATATGTCAACAATAACTATTGGCGTTGAATCTCCGGATACAGTAGCACCAGTATCCAAAAGAAAGAAAGTAGATAAGTACTCCAGGCGGGAGACTATGAAGAACTCTGGATCCGACAGACCGGATCTTCATGAAGACACTGACTCCGTCGGAGATCGATGCTCTTTTGGGACAGTCGCCCCTGAGATTACCTCCAGCATCCAAAGAGATGAATTTAACACCTAGACAGGTTGAACTTGCGAACAAACTGGGGATAAGTATTGTTTGACAGTAGAGGAGAACCCCCGAGTTGGATGACTGGAAACAAGAAAGTTCAGGCAGAAGCTGAAAACTTGGCTAAGAAACTACAGAATAAAGTGTCTATTTCACAGAATATATATAACCAAAAGTCAACAATGCAGTCCACAGACGTGACTAACAACGCAGCAATATTAGCGAGCGTTAGACGTGTGACCACCCCAAAACCTCAGGTGCCTCCGCAACGTAATCATGAAAATGATGGCAGACGCCAAGAAGAAGCTGTTACGCAATTAGAAAAAGATGCATACGAGGCAAATAGAAGGTATCAGGCATACATGTCTAGTACAATCACTACATCTAGCCAAGGTTTCCAAACAAGCTCAGAAATTGTGGGAAATCCCAGTCTTGATGGCCAGGCGACCGGATGGGCAAATGAAACGCTACCGCCAATACAACCGACGACGGTTTATTACCCGTGCGAAGACGTACGATTAAAAGAGGATCGAACACCGCAACAAGCGCAATTTAAAAGTCGGTTCGCCCATGTATATTCGGCAGAATATACAAACTCGAATCGAGCACCACGAACGGGATGGTCATCCCGAGGATACAGAAGTGGAAGAGGGCGAGCGAGAGGAGGAAGACCATACCTGGCGGCTGATCAACAGAGTAGAAGATGGGAAGACCACGATAATCAGCTGAACAATATAAGCAACAATGAGCGCAGACGCGCAAGACCACCAGGAAGAGGTAGACAACGGACAGATACCCTGTTGCAACTACCAGTCATCAGACGACCAAATGGCACAGTCATGACAGACTCATTAGGGAAAGAAATACAAGGCGAGATGTTACGCAATGAGCACTGCTTCATCAAAATAGAAAGTTGTAGCGGCGCTACATTTGAAAATCGTGATCCACATTTGTCAATAAACCCTTGGTCGCTGTTTTTAACCGGGTTTTAATCAGGATTTCGCGGACTACAGTCGTGACTTATTCGGAAAACTCTTGGGGATTTTTCGAGGTTTCTGGAAAACCAGTTTTCCAGAAATCGATTAGGAAAGGCCTATGGGCAAAAACGACTATCATATTCGAAATCAGCATGGTCGAATACCTATCAAGTACCGCATTTCGTTTGAAAAGCGGTCGGACACCTGGAAAGGTTTCCTCGTCAGTGTTTTAGATATAGATTTTAAGAGGATGGGTAAGTTTTACCGAGCAACAAAACGTTTTTTTGTGAGCAAGTATGTTTCTAATTAAACTAATGATTAATTAAGCAAACAGCAAATCTTAAGTCTCTACACATCAACTATTTTGTTTCCTATGCAACATTTAGCACAGTTGCTCAAAATATTTGGCTATACTGCACAACGGTTGTTTGAATCGGTCGAACTGACTCGAGCAAAAAATAAATACAGTTGCTCAGCTGAATAATGATAAGTTCTATACAAGGGTACACTTCCTGAAACCAGTTTCTCGGTGCCATCGCTTACCTCAACATGAAAAACAGAGCTTTTTGAATATTAGTCAGATGAGGAAATACATTGAAACTCTATCCGATAACTATCCGAGTGATTTTTTTTGAATAAGGAGGATTTCAAGTATCTCGAGCAACTTCATTCACTCTGCTGTTTAATTTTAGGACCATAAAGTTCGAGGCAAATAGCAGAATTGCATTATATTTCAAAAATAAAACAATTGTAATTAATTAATCAGACATGCATCACAATCCCACAGTGGGCAATTTTCACTAGGCATGTGGACTTTTGGCCTGCAAGCTAGAGGAAAACGTAAAAGTGCGTTTTCTGCAGGTTATCTTGTATGCTCTATCTAATCGAGTGCTTTTCTAATTCTAAAAAGGTTTTCTAAGTGGTTTTCCAGAGATCCGGTCTCTAGAAAACCACTTAGAAAACCTTTGAAAATTTCGAAAACAATTGCATTGGATAGAGAATCATCGATAACCTATTGCAATTGTGTTTAGACGATTTCATCTGTTGATAATTTCAAATTTTAAAATTTCAGTCAAAAATCCCTATACGCACATGCAAGAAACAAAGGAATCAACTAAATTCAAAATTTTCAGTACAAACACGACTGAATTATACAGCATTCGACGCAGTTTTTCGCGCTAGTCCAGGTACTAGGTATTTCTTTTGTTGAATTCAAATTATTGGCAATAAAAATTATAATTCAAAATTCAATTCAATCCTGACTGACATATATAATATTCAACATATAATGGAAAAAACAATGGTATTTAATGATATTACAAAAACTAAACTTAGTTATATATTAAGTAAACTAAAATACTAAACTTAAATATATATTTTAGTAAACTAAACTTAAATTATATATTTTATAGGAGAGAGTAAATTCAAACACAATGGTCATGAACGTAGTTTTAACACCTATTTACTCTCGTTTATTCTACAGAGTGACGATGCATCATCTAACTACGATGGTAGTTTAATGATTAACCACAAAAATGTCCGTTTAGTATTTTACGCTTTTGAATGTTTAATTTTCTTCTCTCTTCTTGTCTCATAGTTATTTAATTCTTTTTTTGTCTTCAGTGTTTTTGATGCAAGTCTTACGAGCTCGGGAAAGTTTCAATAAATAAAATCTGTAGTCTAAATACGAAACAAAAACTTTTCTTATAATAATACCAAAGCGTCATCCGAATTCAGGTTTCTACTTAGCAGGTTAGTCACTAATGGAGTTCAAACTACTAAACTACTTCATATAAGTTTCCCATTACATGGTGAAAAACAAATTAAAACATCCACGATCCATATAGACATTAAAATGCTTCGATTTAGTACTTCATCTATGCTTATCTTATCGGCGTTGGAAAATTCTTGTATAATTAGTAGATCGTTAGCTAATGTACTCTGAATTCAAAAATGTTGTATACAGGAAGTGCTGCATGAGAGATGTCATGCCAGATGTGATTGATTTCTTTTACTTTTCCACATTACGGATTAACTCATTTCTATCGTCAGATGCATAGATGACCTAAATCGACGTTCGATTATTTGCAATTTCGAATAATCGATGTTCGACCATTCGGTATTTAATCAGAATCGATTCATGCCTACTTAATACAGTAAATCTTTTCCTTTACCTCCATTCTGTCCCTGAAATAAAAATAGTAATTTCTGCTTGTTTATACGAAGCCAATGAAATAAAAAGCGGTTCACTTCCAGAGCAACTCAAAAAATTTTTTTTGAGTAACTAATCAAAATGAGGAGGGAGAGTTATCGCCCGCCCCCTCCCCCCCCCCAATCAAAAATGCTGTCTGGTGTTTCTAGGAGCAAGTGTCCTGTTTCTCAGACAGACTTTCCTCATTTACTTACGTTTTATTTATTTTTTCTCTGTATATGGAAGTCGATTTTGCAAAATACATATGATAATTTGATATGCAGAGTGAATATGCCCAATTTCATTGGAAATTTAAGCCCTTTACTTTCATCGCTTATTGTAAAAGAATTTCTCTGTAAACCATTACAGTTATTTCTGGGTAGAAGAAAGTGTACTGAATCTAATAGTGGAAAACCAATTAATTATATTTAAAAGTGAGTGAGTGAGTAATCACTGGTATATGAAACAGAAATGTCGCCGCTGGAATTAGGGACATGTTTCCTAATTCTAACGGCCGTAGATCTTTCGATGCTATATCTAGACACAGTAAAAAATAAGACAGAAACGAAAGATGTGAGAGAAAATTTTTTTTTTGCTACCTGAAGTACTCAATAGAAAACATTTTTAGGACGATATATGTTTATCTGGTTTCGATTTCTTACCGAATAAAGGTTCATTAAGAAATCTTTTGCAATTACGGGCATATTCATTTATAAAATGGACTGTATCTGTTGGGATAGGTATAAACATATTTTGTACTAAAAATCTTTTCTGGTGAGTAATTTAGGTAGCAAAAAACAAATTGTTTTTCACTACTTTCGTTATTGTCTTATATTTTACTGTGTCCGTTGGGTTCTTCTACCTAGAAATGTAAAAATAACTAATGGTTTTTATAGAAAAATGCTTTTACAATAAGCAATGAAAGTAAAGAGGTTAAATTTCTGTTGGAATTAGCCACATTCACTCTACAAGAACTTTCTCGGAAAAATATCGTTTTCTCTTCTTCGTCTTATGTTATATCTATAAAATAGTCTAGACTACAAATATAAGGGTCCAAGGTTTCTCGATTCTGCTGTGCAACATACAGATCTCGATATGTATGAGCCAGAAAGACAGAAGAGAAGGAGTAGAGAATTAGTAAATAAGAAGATATCTCTTTTCGTATATGAATATATTTCTCTTCTCTTTTCTATTGATGCGCTGAGACGAAAAATCATGAGATGTGGAAAGAGATATCTCCTTATTTGCTAGATCTCGTAATATAACTTTAACTTAAATATATTTAGAGACAAAAAAACAAGAAATTCGACAGAATATTCAAATTTTCTTTTAGAATTATGTGTATCGAGACCGTTTGTTACATTCAATTTCTTTTCAACATACGGAAACATTCTTAGTTTTACAAATCAAAGACCACAATACTTCAATCAAGTTTTTGTACAGTGTCATTGACAAGGTCATAATAATAGTCCATTTTTTAGACGTGTTGACTCAGTTTTATATAAATTATAATGAAGAATTGTTACTGATCCTATAGAGTAATCTTAGTTTTTTTTAGACACGCTCTGATATTCAATCGATCAACATGTTTCAAGAAGATTATTCATCTGTTACAACCGAAAGTGAAGCTAATGTTGGTCAAACAACAGAAGTAGGTCCTTTCTCGGTTCGGAACCTATTTCACTAACGGGTTTCATGAAGATTTATTTGAGTTTATATGTTACATATCAAAAACTTGGCGCCGCTTTCTACGATACAGCATCAGCTATTCTTTATTTTATTGGCGATATTGAAGAAACTAATCGTTTTGATATAACACAGCAAAGTAAGAGCAAGTGAGAAGCATGTAACGTGCTTGATAGTAAATAACGATAATCAACTACTCATCATCTGTGTATGAGATGATATTGGCTAGCCTCTAAATTCCAACATATTCTTGAACACTTTAGCACTAGGATTTTAGAATAAAATTGTATACTGAGAGTTTACAAAAGACTGAAATATTCTATATAATCTATTGAAATGTTTTAATAGAAAAATTAACTAAAATTAAATATTTGTAAGATTAAAAGAAATCTCACTATAGGAATTCTCAGAAACATTACGGGACTCGGTGTATATACAAATCTCATCTTTCAGTATAGTATTACGTTTTTTTAACTGAAAATTCTATTATTCAAAACCGTGGATGTAACTTTGTTTAGTTCTTGCTGATGTTCAACCGTCTGTCGTTATATGTTCAGCAAAATGTGGTGAAGATTATTTTAATGCACTTCAAGAACATATGAATACGACAAGTCAAACAGGTTAGAAACTAAGTCAACAAGAAACCATATCTAAGTATCACTCTGAGATTAGTCAGATGCACTGATGCCAAATAAGATACTTTTAAGTGCCATCATTATATCGTTGTTGAATTCGAGTTGATTTTTGTCTTCTATAGTTGATAAGTCTTCGATCTTCAGTCTAATACAGTTTTTGATAGACTTATTGAGAAAACTTGTGCTGTATATAGTTTTGTATAGAAACAAAAAGCAAACATATGGCCTTTTAAGGTGCTGGAAATTCAAAGTTCGAGTAAGAATTTTTTTCCCTTTATTTATACATGGCTGGATAGAGCGAGCGTATCAGGCGCTCATTAAGCGTATTACATTTCGAAATTTTTGCTGATTTTCATTTTTTGGATGAAAATCTTAGTAATCTTTCGACGTAAAAAGTAGTCGGATAGAATAAAAAAGTACATTATTCGACTCGTCAGTTTTTGATGCTGATTACGAAAATGATGTTTCTACTGCGTAAAAAGTGAATTCTGATGGAGAAAATC